GTCGTCTCTTAACACCCCACCATCTCCTCCTGGAAAGTCCGGCTTGGCCAACATTTTGCCCGAGGAATTGTTTCTTCAAATCTTCCCACAAGCCCTCCCCATCTACAAGTACGAAAACCTCGTGGCCATCGCTGACAAGTACCCCGAATTCGCCAACACTGGCAATGCCGACGTCGACCGCCGCGAAGTTGCCGCCTTCCTCGGCCAAATATCGCTCGAGTCTGGCGATCTTCGCTACGTTGAGGAGATCAACAAGTCCACCATGTGCCAGCAGTCGGCCGAGTACCCGTGTGCGGCTGGCAAGCAGTACTTTGGTCGTGGCCCGATCCAGTTGTCGTGGAACTACAACTACAAGAACTTTGGCAAGGCTGTCAACTTGGACTTGGTCGCGAGCCCTGAGCTGGTCGCCACAGACTACGACTTGGTGTGGTGGAGTGCGTTGTGGTACTGGAACGATGAAAGGTGGAACGGCAACATCCACAAGGTGGTGGGGCACCCCGGTGGCTTTGCCAAGGCTACTAATATCATCAACGGCGGCTTGGAATGCGGCGTGAACCCTCGCAACCGCGACTCGGAAAAGAGCCGCATTGCCAGTTTCAAGAAGTTCTGCGACCTCTTGGGGGTAGCTCCCGGGGACAACTTGTCGTGCCAAACCGCTGATTTCCCCCCCAAGGCGCTTTAGATCTACCTCAAACTTTATCTGTAGATTTTAAGCGTTGTCAAAACTTCGTTCTTGGATGTTTGACTATTTGTGCCACCAGGTGTGACGATGACTCCCAATTTGTGCTCCTCTTTCCACCACCGAGCTCTATGAAACTATTTGTGTTGCGACTTTGCCAGTCGCACAAACCAGTCATAACGACTTTAATTGCGGGTGATATATGTATGCCCAAGTCCCCACTCTAATTGGTACTACTGTGAAAAAGTATTTTTTGCTGTTACTGGTCGAACTTAGCCGGAGAAAATGTCCACCGCGTTCAGACTCCGTCGAGTTGACATGCAACACCAGCAGGAATATGTGGCATTGAACCACTGGGGCCTAGCGAGACTAATATGGCAAGCTGATCCAAACCATTTAGGTTGCCAAGTAGCTAATAGATCACGGCAACCATGGGTAGACTGTGCTTTGGTTGTAAATACAGGGAACGACGTTGAATAGCTCCGCACAATCATGCTGTGATTGGTCAGGCTGCCTGTTCGATTTGACCAATTGTGGGTAATCTTAGGTAATCTTCGAGGTACTATGTAGTACTTCGAAGTACTACGTAATAAACTGGCTTTTCGCCATGAAGAATATAAATAAAATACTATGGTTATTGGTACATACAGTTTTGTCGTCTACTTTTACAGTACAGTACTTCGAAGTAGTATTCAATGTTGCGAATGCACTAATTTTGGAACTCGCAAACGATAGCGACGGCATACCCGTGGACGACGATGCGTCAACAGTGCGACCGATGAATCCAGCATTACTCGCGTCAATTACTGTACCGTTGTGCTACGTAGGCTGCCGCAGACGCCACCATGCTTCAGTGTTGCTGTTTTTCAAATACTACACAACCAAGGGTCGGATGCCATTCGACAATGGTGTCGGACGACCATCCGACACTTGATTTTTGTATACTACGATTAGATCATGGCGTCGGACAATCATCCGACACTTGTTTTTAGCATGCTCGATATCTTTAGGGTACATGATCTAATGTCCGATATCTTTAGATCACAAACCAGTACTGCTCTGACAGGATCGACGACAAGATGACAACCACGAACGTTGCACGCAATTCGAATTTCTGGTGTCGAGGAAGGCAGCATCTAACACTACCTCACAGAGGTCAAACGCGACAAAACACTCACTTTCGAGCCACAAGTGTTTTTTCGAGTTGGTGTGTATGATAGTTGGCAAGGTCAACGAATACGTGTACATTCGATGTACTGTATTTTGACTATGAGGCAGCATTGTTTACACATGAGTAGAGTGAGGTATTGTAGTGGAATTGTGGAGTCGATGATTTCCCACGTGTTTAGAAGGTTATGCATATCAATCATGTCGCCACGTGCAGTGAAGCAGTTCACTATGATAAATTGGGTTGCGTTTGATGGTATGGAATTCATGATTGAGAATCGCAGGCGAATATGTTGCAACTTAAGCTTGGTGTGTGGGGAAGGTATTGCATGCTATGACCACGTCATCAGTATTGTGCGCATTCTTCTCCATTGACGACAACTTCAAATCTGAAGGTCGAAATAAATGGAGGACGAACTATTAACGCTAAGCACAGGTTAGCACACAGACTCAATTAACAGTAAATAGGAAGATGACAAGCTGCTGATTTCTTGACTTGGTAATTGTATTGGAGGTCCAAGCGCAAATCCCAATTCCACGAGGATTTTGGCCTTCACGTCATTGGAGCATAACAAGCGTTGTCCAGTGCAATCCATTTTGCTTCAGATGAACTTACTTCGTTGCTCTTGGCATCTTGAACACGGTGCATTCCTTGTCGCCAGCGTTCAAGTCGGTCCCGGCGGTCTTCGACGCCTTCGCACATTTCTAATGCCTTCCTTTGCACCTTAAGATAATCCAAACGACTTGCTCAGGCCTCGGGAGATTGAGCACAGTATTGCGCCTTCATTGTATTTAATCGAATGCTGCGATCCTCCGGTAACTCCATGTTTTGTCTCCCGCTTCTTCTTGGCTTTCGGCCACGGGACCTTCGTCAAGGCAGCAAATATACACAAATATACACACTGACATTAGTGAGGTTAAACACGCCACGAGGCGCCTACTGACTACCATTCATTAATGTACTCAGTTCCTCCACTAAGGTATCGGAACCTTTGACACGCCACACACACAGAGTGTGTGTGTTTGCAATGGATCAAACTAACGCGCGACCCAATTGCTCTGCACACTGCAGAACACTTCCCCTCCTACATAAAGTCCAGTGTCTTGATGAGGGCGGCCACGGCAGGGTCTTCCTTGTTCGCCGCCGCCCACTTGCGAAATACGACTAGAATGTCGTCCAGCAAATTCGCCGTAGGTTCCTAGGACGATTCTTCATCGTCAAGTCCAAGCCACTTCACCAAAACTTGGTGTTGGCCATCCACGCAGCGCGCTTCGTCCAGGCGCTCCACATGAAATCCGCCATCGCCAAACGCGATCTGCGCCTCGAGGTCTTCGGTCACCTACCTACCACCTGCGTGGTACATCTTCAATCGGCATGCATGATGGATCGTGACTTCGTACGGTGGCACCAGATGCTGAGTCTCGATCACATGGTCTGTGATAACTCTAGTCACTTGGCAGGGTCCTTGCCAAGGCTGTCGGCCACTCGAAATCCACTTGTTGCAGGGGCGACACCACATGGATCAACTTGCGAACATTCGCAACTGGTTGATCAGTCGGAGCCGAACCCCATCGGCTCAGGAGGTCGCCCCATACATTCGCGTCGCCCGAGACGCACTCAATGGTGTACGGGAAGGTCGACATCAC